AAAAAAAAAAAGATAATTGTGTGAGTCATGTATTTAAACTCATCTGTGTTCTGAGAAATGGTTGGTTCCATATTCGATTTTTTTTATTTAAGCGGATAGTAAGTGTTTTTGGCTTCTCTTCTATAGCACGCATAGTGTTGAGCTGAATTATAGCTTTCAAATCCATTGTATCTTGTATTCAGTAGCGGCATAACTCCAGCTAAATGCAGTGTTGTTTCAAATTACATCGGGACATGAAGTTACACTAGGACTGGGTGAGTAACATGACCTGTGATGATCAAAATGTATAAATAGTCTTCATCCGTTATGTTATTGCTCATTGTTCTATGGCTGGGTACGCTCACTTATTACCTGGTTAGAGAATTATACAACAGTTTTGTTGTCTGTCTCTGAAAATGAACATATTTGCGCAATCAAAAGGGGACATTTTCAGAAAACCCTAACAGCTGTCACTATTTAACTGTCACGGTATGTGCAGAAATGTTCAATTAGACATGGAATTAGACATGAAAGTAGATAAACAACCAGGAAGACACTTTAAAAAAGACACAAATATACTCATTGATCTTTTTGAGCATGTGTCCACATGACCCAGCCATATTTTTTGATCTTAAAGGGGGTCTATTATGTTTTTCCTTTTCCTCTATCATGTATATACTGTGAAAATGGTGTTTTCCTTCATTAAACATGGTCAAAGTCTAAATAGTGTATGTGCAAATAATCCCCACAATCACTTTCAAACAGTTTTTCTACTTTTGGCTCTGTATGATGTCATAGGAAGTGGATTTTTTTGAATATGATCATCTCAGGCATGCATTTGAGCACCGAAGCCCCACCCACAAACCTTCTGCTTATGAGGAACAGCTAATCAAAAGGAAGTATGCTTAAAGAGCGTGGGAACTGGAGTTAAAACAGCAGAAGATTAAGTGAGGGGCATCATCAAGACCCAGTATAAGTTAAATAAGGTTTTTTTTTTTAAACTATAAATCACACAAAGCTGTGCAGGACTCAAAATTTGACGCTGGAAATGAACATAACAGATCCCCTTTAATGATTTAACTTGTTGAACGACGCAAAACTCTAACCAATGTCATGCTGCAGGCAAGACAATTTAAGGATCATTATTGATTCCTAATATTCACATGAATAACTTATAATTAACTAATGTTAATTAAACAATGATGGTACAATCAAATTGTAACTACTAGCCAACGTGTTTCTGGGTAGCACATTGGGCTAAACTGATGCAGAGGACACTTGTGTAGCTTGTTCTCCTGTACAGCTTAATTTTAACAGGCCTGTTTGTGAGGCCACATAGCATTACCTTGATGAGATTTTAATCTTTAATGTATAAAAGACTAAATTAAACAAACATACAGTGGGCTTTAATGCACTAATAGTGAACTTTTATTTCAGCAAAGTTCACTAAAATGTAAAATGTAAATTACTGAATGTGCTGTGTTTAAAAAAGTATCTTCAGTACAAATGAAGTCCAGTCTTGTCTACGTTATGAGGTTCAAAAACCTGACTCTAATTATTGATGCAGTACCTGTTGAATTCTTTAAAGAAAAAATGAAAAAAGAAAAGAAACGTTGATTTCATTCTTGTAAATAATCGCCTGCAGTGAAACATTTTTGTGCACTCAACCTTGGATTTATTCTCAAATCCTGTTATGTCCTTTGCATTTTAGAATATGAAAATAAAATGACTCTTGATGATTAAAATGTGTCTGAGTTTGTGACATTTGTTCAAGTCCAGCGACGAGATGTGAACAATCCCACAAGGGGAACTACCTTTAAACAGAAACGTTTCTCAAAATCACGTCACAAAAATCTGCTTAAAACTTTATTTAATAACAATAACTTTATTAGACCGCAGATACTCAAAGAAAAGCTAACCCATCAAAACGAACCCGATTCCTCCAGAGTTCAGGAGCTACAACCTCAAAACCACGATCACCTGTAGTTTTCAAATAAGAAAATTTTAGCAAATCAGATCAGAAATCTGAGAAGTCAGCTGCAGTGATCAGGTCTCAGTAGTTCTGCTGTATATATGTAGAAACCGGTCAATGTAGCGTTTTATATATTATTAATAAAATCCTAAAATAAATTCAGAATTTTTCTAGAAGCCAGTGAAGGGCAGCAAGAACGGGAACGATGTGCAAGTGTCAGTAGTGAATACAAAGGGTGACCTGGTGCAAGGGTGGATTACAAAGTGGTTTGCAGGGGTGCAGTCACTGTGGGCAGGTTAGAGCAACATAAATTGAAGCCCTACTGGATGCCTAGAAAGCCGAGGTGCTCTGACCTTTGAGGTCAGCCTGCCTGAACTAATGCTAAAGAAAAGAGGAGGAAAACAAAAACACCTTGATAAAGCAAAGGAAGGAACGTTTAGTAAATTAAGGGAGTGCGGTCATCAGTTCATGAAGCTCAGGCATGCTTGGGTTATGCAGCAGGACAATGATCTGAAACAAGTCCACCTCTGAATGGCTCAAGAAGCAACACAATGACTGTTTTGGAGTGACTCAGTCAAACAGTGGACTCAAATCCTACTGAGATGCTTTGACCTGACCTTAAACAGGCCGTGATCGAACACACCAGTGTGGCTGAATTCAAACAATTCTCCAAAGAAGCGTGGGCCAAACACAATCACAGTCGCTTGATTGCAGTTCTTGCTTCCAATGGGGCGATAAAAAGCCCCATTATAGTTTACACAGGAATCTTTTTAATAGTTCAATTTGTGTTTATCATACCTGCCCACTTTCCTTTATATTTATGTTCTAAAACATTCAAATTGAATTAATTATGGGTTTGAGTCACTTTTATAGAAAAATAAGTTAACCGAACTCATTGCCCCCAACTGTATCTGCCTTAAGGCCTCTGCTGCAGTAAATATTACTAGTCTAGGTTTGCTTGGTTCCCTGTAAAAATGTGAATGTGGGTGCCAGTGTTAAAGCACTCAGTAGAGGCACGAAAGCACAAATAAAAAGTAGTTTAAGTTTAAGCAGTGATTAGTGTGAAATTACAGTAAAATTAGATATAGTGCTTAGAGACAAATACCCACTCACCACACCCACTGCATGAGTTGATTCCTGGAAAAAGCTGGAGGAGAAGTGGCTAATTTCCAGTAGGAATGATTTTTACTGATAGAAATACAAGTATAAATCTAAATCTGGGGTCATGCTGACCCTATTCGGTCACTCGACGATTAAAGAGACGCCTGTTATACCTCTCAGACTGACTGTTGTACATAATACCAGTAAAGACTTGTCCTCATACTCTGAAACAAGCTCTTCCAACAAAAGGCGAGACTGTTAATACATTTAAGCTTTTGGCACCTTAGGATACCAAAAAAAAAAAAAAAAAATCACACCCTGCAAGAATCTCCAAAACGTGAAGCAGCAAGCATGCAAACCAAGCCTGATGTTTACCCCGAGGGCGGCCTCTCATGCCAGACCAGATTTGATTTTCCAACCATTTATTACCAGCTGTCTCGTGCACAAAACAGCACGCATGTCTCCCTGCACATACACCTGATGTTTCCCGTTTCAGTGGAGGCAGTTTGTCTGCTTGGCGTCTCCATTTCACGCATCCACTTGGCCACGTGCCCAGAGGATAAGACGGCAATTATTTCCTCACAGAGATGATTCTGTTAGATTACATAAATCCATGTCTAATTCTCTCAATATGGCGTCAGGACACTAGAAAATACTGAGCGTGCTCCATGTCAGAGTCCTTAGAGACATGTCTGACAACAACTACAAAGATACTGCAGTCTGTGAGCTCGTTCTTTGGCCACTGGTGGCTAGACATTATCGCTATCACTTGAGGAGACTTTGGGTAATGAAAGAATAGCAGAGTCTTGATTAAGACAAACACATGGAGTGGCGTCCAAGGAGGAAAATTAAGAGGTTTAGAGGGAGAAATGCAGCTTTAACTCTGAGTGTGTAGCATGCGTGGACTTGAAGTCTTCATTTACCCTTCAGTGTTGGTGGCAGCAGATGGTTTCTGCAGTGCTCTCAGTCCCACCGCTAACACTTCTCCTCCTCAGCGCAGGGAATACTGGGATTGCTTAAAATGAACATGGCTGACCTTTTAATTAACTACGTGGACCATCATGCTCTGTTTTAATTAAAGGGAGAGTATTCTCTGTCCTCGGCTCTAGTTTAATAATTATACAGGAGCGTATACAGTAAAAGGGCTTATAAAAATACAACCTCAGATGATCAACACATGATTGCAGTATTTCAGTATTCATTTAACAAAAATTAAGCCAGAAGCACCGTGTGAAAATCTTCAGCTCCAATAGGAATTAATAGGGTAAGTAGCGGTCACCTGCTGCTACACATATGCACTCAGTTAACTGATCATTAGGAAATGTGAGCACCTCTATAGAAGAAGTAGTTTGTCTGGAGCACGGGGGTGTTGATAGGTCAGTGCCAACGAGGAAAGCATCAGTAATGGTCTCAGAGAAAAAAAGTATGGCTGCCCTTCAATCTGGGAAGGGTTATAAGGTCATTTCCAAACAATCTAGAGTCCATCAGTTTACAATGATGAAGATTATTCAGAAGACGATGCCAATACAACTGCTGATTTTCTCGGGAGTGGACGTCCCAGCAAATTCACCCCAAAGTCAGACAGGACAAAGCTCAGAGAAACTGCAAAAAACCCAAGAACGGCGTCTCACACTCCACAGACATCAGTTAGCATGTTAGATGTAAAAGTTCATGACGGCACGATTAAAAAAACCTGAACATGTTTGGCTCTTTTTAGAAGGTTTTCCTGCACATTGCAGCACGACTTAAGTTTGCAAGGTACATCTGAACAAGCCACAAGACTTGGTGGTGGTGGAAGGGGGATGATTTGGGCTAATTTTGGAGCCACAGGACATGGGTACCTTGTAGTCACTGAGTCAATGCCTAATTATTCTAGAGCAAACTGTCCAACAGCTAAAGCTCGGCTAAAATTGGGTCATGCAGCAGGACAAAGATCCCAAACACAGCAGCAAATCTACAAGAGAATGTGCAATGAAACCTCAATCCACTGAAGGAATGTTGTAAAGAAACATCTTCTACAATGATACAAGGGGCTAAAAGTTGCACAAAAGACAAAAGAAAAGGTGATTCTACAAGCTACTGAATCAAGGTGTGGACTTAGTTTTTCACATGCTTAGTTTTTCACAGACTATTCAGACTCTGCTGTGGTACTTCAGACTGCACCCTGTTTTCTTTAATTAAGATGTGGTCGAAACTCTGAGCCACCTGAGGCAAATTTTATTGGACATAGTTTAGAAAGCCACACTGTGTACATAAAGATCCCACGTTCCTGAAGGCACCGCCGGCACAAAAACTAAATCACGAAGTCTAAGAAATTCACTTATGGTGAGGCATCAATCAGGTCAGGGGCAAAAAAAAGGTACTTCTAAAAGCATTCAGTGTCCTCAAGGGCACCGTGGCCTTGATAACTGAGATGGAGGAAGTTTTGAAGCACCTGGACTCTACAGAGAGAAGGCTTCAATCAGAGGAGGTGACCAAGAAAGCCCTTCTAACAGAGTTTGAGAAGTCTGCTGCACAGAGGAAAGTACCTGCTGGACAAAGACTCCATCGTCTCCATCAACTTTTATGGTGGAGAAGATCGAGTCGAGTTACAGAGAGACGACAGCCGGCGTGGAGTCTGTCAAAAAGCAGCTCAAAGGGCGAAGAACAACAAATCTAATGAGTTAAAATGCTGATCAGCCTCCTGAACTAAGCACAATCAATCAGTTCCAAACAATATCAATCAATGTCCTTAAACATTTGTTGTTTATATTAAATGCACCTTATCAGCATTTTTGAGCCATGATAACTGATGACTGATAGATGCAGCTACATTAAATTTTCATGGCTGAAAAACACATTAAAGCTCTTTTAAAAAGTGCACACAATTTAAAATTCACTCCAAATGTCAATCTAGACTAAAAAATGACATAGCTTAACATAAGTAAATCAGTCGTCTCCTATAAAACAAATCTATATCTCTATCTTTTCCTCATGATTCAATTATTGAATTATGTTTCATATAATTCTGTACACACGTGAGTAACACTTTAGTAACACGTGTGCCTGTTTATGTCTGTCTGTAAGAAATCATCTTACTTCTATCGCATGATTAACGATTCAAAATATTGATTGGTGTTTTATGTGCCTATTTTTCCCTGTGAAGTTTCCTGATTCTATTTTTTTACTTTAAATAAAACAAAAAGAAATTAGCTAGCAGCTAAATCTAGTACAAAGCATTGTTTCCCTTTGTGTGATTAATATTAAGAAATAAACAAAAAACAAACAAACAAACTCTTTCTAACTGAATTATCGTCAGAAAGGTATCAACTAATATATAATATTACTAATTACAATAATTGTGTGATTATCTAGTATTTGTTCATAAGCTTTGTATGCAGCTAACCCAATTTGTGACTGAATTTTTGACATCACTTTTTGTTTCTGGTGGAGTTTTATTCTGACCCGTGTGCTTACAGGTAAAATAAGATAAGATAAGATGTACTTTATTTGTCCCAGAAGGCGGGAAATTACTTTTACAGTAGCCAAAACATAAAAAAACAACTTAGCTCCATAAATAAACACAATATCACAGAAAGATGAAAAAAGAATAAAGTAGGAGTTCAGTTAAAAAAAAGAGATAAAGTAAAGCATTCAGTGAATCTAAATGTAAATATGACATCAGAGGGAACTTTAATCTAAAAAGACTTCAGGTATTGTGGTATGAGTTGGTAAAGATC